TTATATCTAAAACATTCTGCAGTCTAACCACTGAATATCTAATGAAGTAGTACAGTTAACATCAATGGGTCCCTACCAAGGACCAGCATGGACTAACTGCTGTTTCCACTCACACTCTGAGTCTGTAACTAACTGCAGTCGGCTTACAGAGAACCACTGTGTATCATTTAGACCCCTGATGGAATAACGATTGACAGAGTCCAAGTGCTTCCTGCCAAAGGTGTCACATCAGGAACCTTTAAACTGCCAGAAGTGATCAGGTCTGTGCTCTGAATGCCAAAGCATCATGCTCCCACCCCCATGTCCAGTACGTTGACCTCTCTCCTCTCACATTGCAGCACTGGCACATGGAAGGTGGTGGGGAAATTCCAGAAGACTCCGCAGATAAATTTCACTGCTGAGTTTGAGGTCAAGGAATATGGTGAGTCAGTCGTCCATGGGAGGAATACACCAGCCATATGTAGAACTATATAAAATAAAGAGCTGTCACTGGTTGCCTTATGTTTATTGTGTTTTTTCTCCTGCATTCTTCTAGTACTTCCAACATTTGAGGTCAGTCTGGAAGCCAAACGATCATTTTTCTATGTGGACGATAAAGAACTGCTTATCGACATAACAGCCAAGTAGGAGAGTTTGATTGGATATCAATAGAATCATTTTTACATTTATTCTTTTGTCTTTGACATATTTCTGTGCTCTTCAAGCTGGTCTCTCATCTGGCCCTGAAGGTACCTCTACGGGAAGGAGGTGGACGGAAAGGCGTTCGTGGTGTTTGGGTTGATGACTCCAGAAGGAGAGAAGAAGAGCCTTCCGGGGTCTCTCCAGAGGGTGGAGGTCAGTTCTTCTGCTCCATGAGAAAAGGCTTCCTTCCTAAAAGCTTTCTGCAGAGTATCTGAAAATATAAAACCCTTCTGGTGACCCAGTGTCACCCAATTATGAATGCACCTTGAGTTGGGTTTTCCATAGCATTAGAGTAATGGGACACACAGCCTAGCGTCGCTGATTCTGGGAGATGGAAATCTCTCAGTGCTGCTTAACTGAGAACTGGGAATCTCCCTGGGCTTCCCTGCCCTTCCAGCCTGTTGGCCAGCAGAGCGAGTGACCCGTCTGTCCCCCCCACCGACAGATCACCGCAGGGAAAGGCAGTGCTACGCTGAAGCAGGAGCACATCTTACAGGTCAGCCCCAACATGCAGCAGCTTGTCGGATCATCCATATACGTGTCCGTCAGCGTCCTGACCAGTACGGGTAAGCTCACAGCGCCACCTAGCACTACACTGCTGTACTAACAGATAGCGCTTAATGCGTCAGTATGTGCTACTAAATGACGAAAATAATTATTTAATTATATAGCAATGGTAGGAGAAACATTTGATGTGTATTGATTGCTAGCTTTAAATGAAACTTTCTCATATCTACAGCCTGTGTGCTTCAGTACAATCATTCCTGTTTCACTTTCCATGAGCAGCTATCTGGGCATTTGGGTATTATATCTGAGCCCTGACAGTCCCTGTAGCTGCCGGTGGCGTCACATTCATGTCAGCTGTGTAGGATCAGGCTGCAGGCCCAGAGCAGCCTGCTTAAGCTCACCTCCCATCTCTCCAAGGCACGGAGATGGTGGAGGCGGAGAAGAAGGGCATCCTCATCGTCACCTCGCCCTACACCATTCACTTCCAGAAGACGCCCCAGTACTTCAAACCCGGGATGCCGTTTGACATTATGGTACAGCGACTGTCATAACCTTCACCCTTCATTGTTTATTCTGTATTTTGTATGAAATCCAATGAAGTTTTCGGCATATTTTTAAGGGAAGCATTATATTTATGAATAAAAATACACATCGGTTTTAAAACCTGCAGAGTATTTATGCAGTATTAGATCACCGTTAATGTGATACTATGATACACCTCTGTGCTGCCAGACGTGTCCTTTGCGATATCCAGGGCACCATTATGAGCTTTCCTCTGTTGTCCCTTAAAAGGTTTACGTGACAAACCCAGATGAAAGCCCTGCTAAAAACATCCGGCTGAAGGTTTCTCCAGGAGACGTGCATGGCGATACCAACAGGGACGGCCTGGCCAAGATCACCATCAACACTGGTGGGGGGGCCAATGACCTCAAAGTTACTGTGAGTCACCGTGACCGCAAAGGGGAGTGCAGAAGCAAGGCTTTCTCTAATCACCAGTAACACCAGAATTACCACCCCTCAGAGAGACCTAGACACAGAGCTGGGCTAGACCAAAGGTTCTGGTCCACTTTCTCTCCAGGGGGGCAAACTTGCCTGAACATCAGAAGTTCAGTCTGGTCACATTGTTAATTTCATTTTGAACCAAGACCAGAATACAAACATTCATCCACCCATAAATGTTAATCCAGCAGAGGGTCCTGGTCAGCCTAAAATCTATGCCAGCCATGGAACAAAAGAAGCAGAAAACAAAAAGTAGAGATAGCCATCTATTCTCCAGTTACAGACCAAATTCTGTGCCTTCCGAATTCTCAAAATTTAAAATAAACTATTTGTGCAAAGGCTTGACAATTTTATAGAAAAACACAATTTGTTCAGTGACCATCGGTTTGGTTTTAGAGTAAATAGGTGCACTACGATGGCAGTTATGCAACTGGTAGAAGAGATATCCACTGCAATGGATAACAAAGAATATACAGTGGGGGTGTTTCTAAACTCAAAAAAAACATTTTATACTTTTGATCGTGGCTTATTAATAATAAAAAAACGGAGAGATATGGTGTTACAAGGATAGCATACTCTTGGCTAAGAAGCTACCTTGACGACTGATATCAATTTGTAATGATAAATAATGTAAAATCAAATTTGTTCAAGGTTACTTGTGGGGTTCCACAAGGTTCAGTGCTAGGCCTTAAATTATTTATATTGTATATAAATCATATTTGTAAAGTGACTAAATTGTTCAAATTTGTTTTATTTGCTGATTACAGTAAGATGTATTGCTCTGGGAAAAGCTTGGAACGGCTTCTGAATACAGTGGAAACAAATGAAAGTTTTGAAGAATTGGTTAGATGTTAACAAATTAGTATTAAATATAAGTAAAACAAATATTATAATATTTGACAATCAACAAATCAAAAACCAAGTTAAAATTATAATTGATGATATTGAAATAGAGTTTTAGGAGTGACAATCGATCATAAATTATGTTGGAAAGCACACATAAATAATGTAAAAACTAAAATGTCTAAAACTATTGCAATATTAAACAAAACTAAAGATATCTTGAATTAGAATTCATTATACACACTGTATTGTTTACTCGTAGTTCAATACATACTTCTGTTGTAGTTCCATACGTAGTTCTCTCATTGTTCTAACTGTGTTGAGATATGGGGCAACAAACAAAACCAACACAAATCCAATTTTTATGTTACAGAAAACTGCTAGAAGAATTGTAAATAGATCAGATTATTGTGAGCCAACTAATGCACAATATTTACAGAGTTTGGTTATTCAGGTCCAGAGAGTAAAAGTCCAGACCAAGATTTTGTTTCAGCCAACCAGTTCTGCATAAAGTCAGTCACAGAGTACTCAACTGGTTGTTTGAAACAAAATCCCAGTCTGGTTTTTATTAAATTATATATGTCACGATCAAGATGTGAGAATGGACCAGGGAATCAGGAAGCAGGAGCAGGGAAATGGATAATCAGGGAATACAGGGTTTATTAGGAATCAATCCCAATAAGACACTGGAGACACACAATGTTAATGACTGGACTGGGGAAACATATTCGAATGCGGACTGAAACACACATGACTAATGGCAGGAAACTTATAACAGCTGGTAAACATAGGGATTCCACAGGAGGTTAACGAGGGGGCGTGGCACACAGGAGGATCGGAGAAGCTGGGCGTGACAATATATTTTAAAAGTTTGTGACTTTTGATTTATATAATGCACAAATGATGAACAAAGCACAAAATACCTTGCATCCTGACTGTATTCAGAGGTTGTTTGAAATTAGAGAGAGCAAATATGAATTGAGGGAGTGCTGTGTGTTTAAAAAAGGAAGCGTGGGGGCAATTATAAAACAAATGTGTTTTTTGTCAAAGTGATAAACTTGTGAAACAGTTGTGATAAGAAACTAAGAATGTGTAGTTCACTCTGCAAATGAAAAAAAAAATGTTTAAAACAATTAGAAAACTCAACTTTAGAGTAAGTGAAACATTTGAAACTTTTGAACTATTTAGTATTGTAAATGTTAAAAAATAAGGTGCAATCAATCATAAAACTAATCACTTAATGCTTAAACTGTGTGTTTTTGGCCAGGTGCAAACAGAAATGAATGAACTGAAACCACAGCAACAGGCAAGGAAGAACATGGTGGCCCAGCCCTACCTAACATATGGGAACTCCCAGAACTACCTGCATATCGGGATCACCTCAGCCGAGCTGGGAATCGGCGACAACCTGCTCGTAAATCTGAACCTTAAGAACAATGCAGGGGTCCAGGATCAGATCAGTCACTTCACATACCTGGTATGCATATACCGTTCTTCCACTCGCATTATTAACAATAATCAGTTGTAGGTCTATGTGTTTTGAAATGCCATATTGATCTGACATACTTGGAATGTTTGTATATAATCTCCAGGTATGGTATACATCTTAGATACTTATTATATTTATTCGCAGCCCATTATGCTGCTGTTGCATTTAAAGCCCCAGTTGACTTGACATGACACCTGAAATATTAATGCAGGTGTTACATTTGCACCTGCACAGGTAGTGAACAAAGGACAGATCATCCGTGCGGACAGACAGGAGAGGGAGAAAGGTCAATCACTGGTGATCTTGTCGCTGCCGATCAGGAAAGACATGATCCCGTCATTCCGACTGGTGGTTTATTACCACCTGGGACAAGCAGAGGTGGTGTCAGATTCGGTCTGGGTGGATGTGAAGGACACCTGTATGGGGACGGTATGTGACCATGATGCTATTTAAGCGTGTGACAGCCTGTGCGTAGGTGTGTGGCTGCATACATTTTTTGTGTTGTTTCCAGGTTATTGTGCATCATCGTACAAGACCTGCACCAATCACATCTGTGTAATGTGTGTGATGGTCTTTCAGTGACCACACTGTATCAGCTGTGCCTTTGTTCTGTGAAGAATACGTACTATCTGTTATCGCCACCGCATCACCGATGTTTGTTACGTCGCATTGATGTTTTTTCACTGACATTGTTCGGTCACTGATGTTTCTGCTATTCTGTCAGTGTTTCTCTGTTCGGGATGTTATTGCTGTTTCAGTGATACCTAATGACTTTTCCGTTCTTTTTTGGCCAAAAGCTCAAAGTCACCTCGAAGAAGACAGAATATCAGCCACGTAACAAGTTCACTCTGAAAATTGAGGGTGACCCTGAGGCCAAGGTGGGGCTGGTGGCCGTGGATAAGGGCGTCTACGTGCTGAACAGCAGAAACAGACTGACCCAAAGCAAGGTAACACATCAGCTCAGTTTACCGTCAGCATACAGATTCACATGCACCTCAGTGGTGCTTGTGGGACAGTCACGCTGTCTGCTGCTCTGTGCTGTCTGACACAGATCTGGGACACAGTGGAGAAGCACGACATCGGCTGCACGGCAGGAAGCGGGAGGAACAGCATGGACGTCTTTTATGACGCTGGGCTGATTTTCCAGTCCAATGCTAATGTGGAGACCAAATCCAGAACAGGTGCTGCTCCGTCAGAAACGCATACAGAATATTAACATGTGCAGGGGGTGACTTTCTACACCCACGTTATAAAGGTTAGCGCTCCTGCTGTACGGTCTTGGTGCCCTGGGGGACTCTGTTAACCTGCCCCCTCGTCTCTCTACTGTCCTCCCCTTCTCTGCTTTCCCACTGCAGAGCCTCACTGCCCCGCCCCCCCAAAGAGGCGGCGCCGCTCCATCACCTTGCTGGACCTGAAGACCTCGTTGGGTAAGACCCGCCTTTGGCATCTACTCCAGATACACATTATTAGACACAGCTGGGATGTGTACCCTGCCCGCTGTGACCCATGATAAATATGATGCCTGGTAACCTGCCATACTGTGGGCAGTGTGTGTTTCAGTGTGGTGAGGTTGTTTGTCCATAATCAGAAGGTCATCAATTCATATCCTGTGGAATCCACTGTTGGACCCTTGAGCGAGACCCTTATACCCCGCAGTTGCTCCCCACCTTTGCAATGATATGTTATTTGGATAAAGGCATCTGTTAAATAACAAAAAATGTCCAACTCTGTGAATCCACCTGCTACCCTGGAGGCTTCTGACTGTGCAGCATTATGTCTCTGGCCAGAAGAGGGGGGGTCTTTTGACCCCATTTACACTTTTGGTTTTGATGCCCCTCAGTCAGCAAATACAGCACGCAGCTGCAGAAGCAGTGCTGCGCAGACGGCATGGTGGAGAACCTCATGGACTACACCTGCGAGCGCCGCGCCGAGTTCATCATCGACGGGGCCGAGTGCGTCAGCGCATTTCTGCACTGCTGCAAAGAGGCTGCNACAAACCGGCAGAAGGCCGCCAATGAGAACCTGCTGCTGGCCCGCTGTAAGCCACACCCCCAACCTGCTGACTGTGGCTCCGGGCCGTGTGCTAAAAGCTCTCAAATCTGGCTTTGCCACCGAGTCTCAGCATTTCATTAGATTAGACAAATTTCATAGAATTTCTGAATGGGGAAATTCTTATGCATATCGCCTCAGCTGCAAACACGCAGTGGCAAACAGGCAAGGTGTGAAGGCAGTGCCATGTGTACATTTTGTGAGGACTTCCAGTTTTATAAGATGGTGTCAGTAGTAATTTGCAGCAGTTACTTTTGGATAAAGAGGCTGTTTTTGTGTCCATTCGTGTTGAGGAGATGCAACAGAAAAGGAAACTAATTGCATAGTTTAGCTGAGTCTGTAGGACACGTTATCACAGACATCAACTCGCACCATCCTTGTCTAACTGCAGCAGAAGATGATGACAACTACGTCTCGGACAGAGACATCGTGTCACGCACACAGTTCCCTGAAAGCTGGTTGTGGCAGGAGGAGACACTGCCAGCGTGCCCCAATGGAAAGACAGACTGGTACGACCTACTGCCTTTCAGTCCCACTCAGGATGAATTATCAGCCATTTATTAGTCTGTGGCTGCACAGCCCTTTGATTTGACTGTATCAGTTATCACTCTTTGGCTTGCAGACCTTTGATTGCACTCTATCAGTTACCAGTCTGCAGTTAAGCAGCCCTTGATGTGACTGTATCAATTATAAGTCTACGATTGCACAGCCATTTGATATGCTCAATCACCATATAACTGCATCCCATCTGCATCGCTGGGGCAGCCAAACTGCCTGTCTGTAGCAGAAACACACTGCTCTGTAACTCAACAATTCCTTTCTGTTTTTCTTCATTTTTTCGTGTTTGTCTCCCATCCAGTGCTTCTACATCAATGGAAATTACAAATTTTTTGAAGGACTCCATTACCACCTGGGAGGTCACTGCTGTCAGTCTGTCAAAAAAAAGTGGTAGTGTATCTGTCCATTCTGGATCACAAATGCATATTTCAGGGACTATTTATCCACATTAGAAGCAGAATCACAAACACATTCCCGCTCTGTAGGAATCTGTATGGCGAGTCCCTTTGAGATGAAAGTGATGAAGGACTTCTTCATTGACCTGAAGCTGCCCTATTCTGCTGTGCGAAATGAGCAGCTGGAGATCAAAGCTGTACTTTACAACTACATGGAAGATGACATAAAAGTAAGGTCTTTCTGTAGATACTCTCCACTCCAGACCCCCCACCTGAGACCTCCAAGATAAACATGAAGCATCTCCACAGGTTCGTGTGGAACTGATGGACACTGAGACAGTGTGCAGTGCAGCCCACAAGAAGAGGAAGTACCGGGAGGAGGTGATGGTGGAGGCAATGTCCTCCAACTCTGTGTCCTTCATCATCATCCCCATGGGACTCGGGAAGCACTCGATTGAGGTCCAAGCTTTTGTCTATGACTCCATCAGCCGTGATGGTGTGAAGAAGGACCTGCTGGTGGTGGTTAGTGCCCTTCTCCATCTGAGTCCCACATCTGTCCATCAGCATCTCAATAACATTCATTACATGTTGGTAGTACGATTAACAGCTAGAAATTAGAACTTATTTCTGGAAAAATTGATGCTAAGCAGGGGAGTAGTTAAAAATGAATGGATTGGGGGGCTGAGTCTTATTTGCGGTGACTAAGAAAAATTTTAGGTGTACAGCTCCCCTAAAATATGCCTAACGATGCCCCTGATGCTAAGCAAGACTGAAAAGGACCAACAAGCTCAGATAAGCAAATGCGACATACATATCTGTTTGATGGTTGGCATGGGGGCTCTGAGGGGCGTACTATTACTTTGCAGCTTCAGCAATGGGGGGGTTTTGAATCCCACCCCCTGCTCTCCCCGGCTTGTGTGGGTTTCCTCCTGCCATCCTGAGACATTCGATTAGACATACAACCTGGCATCTTAAAATTACACATAGTGCATGATGTGTGTTCTTGATTTTGCCGACGATGCTGTGGTCTTAGCAGAGTAAATGGTGGCTCTGATCGGGGCTCTCAAGAGACTGAGTGAAGAGTCTGAGTGTCTGGGATTGCGGGTGTCTTGGATAAAGACCAAGATCCAGGCATTTAATGACTTCTTAGGCACGGCCATCAGTAGTTTGTCTGTCTGCAGGGAGAAAGTCGACCTTGTCGAGAGATTCACTTACCTCAGCAGCGACATTCATGTCTCTGGTGACTCTTCCTATGAAGTTTGCAGACGGATTGGAGGAGCATGGGGAGTGTGTGGAACTGGAATTGAACTAGAACTGGAATTAAACCCAGGTTGCAAGAATGGGAATTTTGTAGGATGCCAGTACACTAGTGGTGCTTTAAAAAGTCACGGTTTTAAAGTTTTATTCTTTACTTTCATAAATGAGTTTCTCACTGTCCAGTTGTTGACGTCACCTGAGGACGTCACCTGTTGGGTCTATAGTCCGACTGCGTGAAAAACGTTCACTCTCCTGTTGTCTGAATCAGTTCTTTATGCCAGACTTCAGCTGAGCATGTTCCTCTTGGGTTCCTGTGTTTGTTCTGACAGCCTGAAGGGATACACATCAGGAAGGAGATTAAAACAGTCATTCTGGATCCTGCTACACACAGTAAGGCTTTGACCTGGATTTCTGTTGCTGTTAAAAACCCTAAACACCTGTTAAGTAAATGAGTGTATGACAGCATTGTGTTTGATCATTCCAGATAAGAATCAGATGGAGACAGTCAAGGGTGCTGATCTGAAGAATAGGGTGCCTGGGTCCCCTGCTGAAACATTCATCAGCGTGACTGGTAAGGAGTCCACCCAGAGCCCTCTGATGACCTTCTGTGATAAGGGTGGTGTTGGGTGATGTATTCTAACCATTTGGTGTATGTTCTCGTATGTCCTGTTATTTATTCTAATGTACTGTGGCAATATGTAAACCCTTTAGGATTACCTCATTTTATGCATAAATTGGTCATGAAATGTGACACAATTTTTATTTAAGTTACAATAATGAATGAACACACTCAATTTTAACTAATGAAACACAGACTATTGTATTGTTCTTGTACATATTGAAGACATCATTCAAACTTTCACAGTGCAGGTTGGAAAATATATGTGAACCCCAAGGCTATTCACTTCAACAAAAGCTAAATGAAGTCAGGAGATGCAAACCTGGAGTCCAGTCAATGAATTGAGATCACAGGCATGGGTTACAGTTAGTTTGGCTTGTAAAAATCACTTAGTTTTGAGTTTGCTGTTCACAAGTAACATCAGTTGTTGTGAACGGTGTCTTGGAAAAATAACATCTCAGTATGCCTACACTCAATAACATCTCGGCATGCCTACACTCAATAACATCTCGGCATGCCTACACTCAATAACATCTCGGCATGCCTACACTCAATAACATC